TATTCCCGATAAAATGTACGAAATGAAAGGAAATTAATGCCTAATTTCTTACCAAACCTACTTTCGTAAGAAACTGAATCTCCAAATTTTTTTTACCAGCCGTACACAGATGTTTATAGAACAAACTTCTTGAGTACCTGGAACTAACGTTTTTTCCAAATAGCAAAAATTCGACAACAATTTGACTTTGACAAGCAATAACTCAGCAAGCTTATGAAATTTTATGAATAAGTTTCAATAATATGTCAAATTTATCAGATTTTAGGTTGCGATTTAAAAACTTAAATTTTTTCAAATCGTGCTAGCGAGCCCTAAAAAATTATTTAAAACTATGAAATTTTCATGGCTCTCTTTATTTTGTACGCAGAACAAGGTTTACATGTTGTTTAAGGACCGGTCTAATACATATTTTATACATATGTATGCAGTTATATGTGGATATTTGTCAGTCAGAATGCAGACACATGTTGAAATTCCTGGTGATGGGAAACAAAGTAGTGCTCGAAATAAAATAACAGCAAATAAATTGAAATGAAAGCAAGTCATATTCAAGCAAAAAACAAAACCAACTTCAATTCCCATATATAAATTTGGGATTATCGTTAATTTCTTCAAGACCGTATGAGCGGATCTAAAAATCAAATCAAATTTGTATGGGATCACCTCTGAGGTATCACCAATATTTTCGTCACTTTCAAAGCGATTCAGTTGCGAATTTCAAAGTCATTGAGCACCCTGTATGGTTTACGGTAAAAAATTTAATTTTTTTATAGATATTAAAAATACCAAAAGGAAAAGCTAAGGGGGCGCGCCTCGTTTTCTACGATGACATTTTTTCCGCCATTAAAAATTTGCACCACTGTAATGTACATAGAAAAAAGTGAGTAAAAGTGAGTTTATTTGTTTGGTTCCCTTTCAGGCTTTAACTACTCACGCGATTATCATGAAATTTTGCACACTGGTGTCACTTAGATCGGCTTAAAACCATGGACCGTAACAGTTACAGCTTTTATTATAAAAAATCGCTCTTTAACAATTATTTTTTGACTTTTATTGAATAACTCCTTAAATAACCGTTATTTCTGACTTTTGTTTTCTAAATCCAAAATAACAAGTATTTTTAATTTTTATGTAGATAATCTGCAAATAACAGTTATTTTTGATTTTTAAATTATATGACAACAGTTATCGAGGACTTTTATTTATAAAAGTCATAAATAAAAGTCAGTCACTGGCCTTTTTTTTAAATCATACTTATAAAAGTCATTTGTATAAGTCGTAGTAAACTTTTGTTTCCCAACACCTTAACTGCGAAAAATGTTAATGACTTTTATACGAATGATTTAAAAAATAAAAGTCGGCGGTTGATTTATATTGATGACTTTTAAAAGTAAAAGTCACTGACTGATTTTTATTGATGACTTTTTCATTTAAAAGTTCAATAGCTGTTATCTATGTTTGAAAAGTGTGGCCACCTGTTTGAAAATTCAAATTGAAATTAATTTTTTGCAAGCTATATGACAAATTAAAATATGGTTCCAAACGCAAGTGGCTTTGAAGGTTGTAGTCTGACAACACTTTTTTGAAAAGTCAAATTTAATTTGAAAATTTTGAATATAACTGAAAAGTTTTGGAAGGATTGCCACCTGTTTAAAAATTAAATCTAATTAATTTAATTGAATTACTACAATATGGGTATCACTCGATATGGATTTAAAAAGGCCTTATTTCTAAACTACATGTTCGAGAGTTGCCACCTGAAATTCGGCCAGAATTTAGGGAATAAGTAACACAAGAAATAAGTTTAATAAAGCTATAGTTTCAGTTAATATTTTGAAGGTGGGTTAAAAAAGTTTGGAGTTTTGCACAAAGTTGAGATATTATATTTTTATGTTTTTTGTTGTAGAACCATATTTTCATACAAAATTGGCGGAAAAATATTAGAATAAAAGTTGTTGCGTATACTGTGAAAAATTTTATTAATATGCGTAAAAATTTTTCTTCATTCAACTTATTTAATATTTGCTGTACAGCGTACCACGCCATTTGTTTCTGATTAGTAAATTTCCCTACCATCTATCTGCACTCTTTGTTCGCTAAGCTAGCCACATGTCTGCAATGCAACATTTTCCCATCGGCTATAACTGCATACCACAGCGTCTTTAACAGCTCATCAGCACAACAACAGGCCACCGGCATAGCTGCATAGCCACATCACAACATCGGCCACTTGGTGCATGCGGAAGGCCTGCCACCTTTTTAACTACACTTGAATTTAATACCCAGCGCGTACCAATTAAACACACACACACACACAGGCAGACATGTGTAAGCGTTAGCAAAGTTTGCACGAAATTTCACAGCGATTTTATTCTACTAGATATATGTATGTATGTGCACATAGTACTCCTATACAATTATTAGGGTGGGTCGAAAATCAATTTTTTTTTAGAATTTTTATTGGTGATAGCAAAAATATGGTTGACTGCTTGTGAAAAATTAAAATTTTTGGTCAATAGCTCGTTTTTGTTCAAATAGGCTCGTCTAAGTCAATCAAAGTGCAAAGTGTTCAAACAATTTTTTTGTTAACTCGTAAATTTATTTTTCTACCAAAACAACCTCGCTGAGCGAAACAATTATTACTTTTTAATATCTCAGACTCTCTTAATCGGGCCTTTTTGTAGGGAATAAGATATGAGCAACTTTTGGAGAGTTTTTCACATTTTCAATTTTTTTACTAAAACAGAAACTATCTTCGAAATAATTAATTCATTTGTTTTAACTTTAATTGATTTGGGTGGGCCTAAGATATTGGCCAAAAATTTTCTAATTTCGCACAGATTTCTTTCAGAGCACAATGAACCATATTTTTGGTATTAACAGAAAAAATTAAAAAAACAAAAACGGACTTTCAGTTCACCCTAACGAATATGCATGCCAATTTATTAGGGGGTCCAAAATAAGTAAAGTCGGATTGTTAATGCTCTCAGCCCTTATTTTTTTCTATACCGAAAAAATACACTTTTATTTTATTTTGAAATCAAAAAATATGTAGAGGTAGTTAAAAGCAATTCTTTTTTTCGTAGGGATAGTATCGAATTCTAAAAATCGATATTTTTTGATCGGAAGACTCTGTTTGTCTCGAGGAGTCTTCTAATAACAATACCCCATTTATACATTTTTTTAGCCATTTGTTAATATTAACTCTTTTTCATAGGCCCCCCAAAAACCCCAAACATGCAATGGGGGGACCCACTAAAAATAGTTAATATTAACAAATGGTTAAATAAATAATTAAGTATTATTGTTGGAAGTCTTCTGGAGGGAAGCAGAGTCTTCGGATGGAAAAATCTTAATTTTTAAGAATACTATTCCATTTCTACGAAAAATTGTTTTTTGAAGTGAAACTTCTTTAGCGGCGGTTGGTTGGAAATGGTGCAACGGAAATTTTTGGGGCTGACACAGGTGCTTCTTGAGTGTATGCACATGGTATTAATTTAACAAAAACTTGCTAATAAATGGTTAAAGAATAACATTAAGAAAAAGACGAATACAAGAATGAAAGTAAAGGTGAGTACGTACGTAGATAAAGAGAAGGATAAAGGCAAAGGTAAAAATTAAAACAAAAACAAAGAAAAATAAAGATAAAGGCAAAAATGAAGATCAAGGTAAATTTAAGCTCTTTACTTATATACATATAAGGGCTAAGGTGAAGGGGAATATGTAGACGAACACAACGATAAACATAAAAGTCAAGACAAAGAGGAGGATGAGGATACCGATAAAAGTAAAGATGAAGAGGAAGGAAGATTAAAACCAAGGTAGTTATAGAGAAAAGGATATAGATGGAGACACAGAGACTAAATCTGGGAACTATTTTGGGACTTTAAAAATTTTCAGGATTCTTGGGACTTATCGATATAATAATCGATATTTTTATCGGTTTAGTTATCGACATTGGTATCGATTTTATTACTAAAATATTTATCAATATTTTTATTGATTACCTATCGATATCTTCGGAACCTATCGATAAAATAGTCGATATTTTTATCGATTTTGTAATCGATATTTTTAGAGATTTTGTTATGGATAGTGTTATTGGTTTTGTTTTTGATATTTTTATAGAATTGGTTATCGATATTTGTATAGATTTTGTTATCGATACCGTAATGGATTATTTATCGATTCTGGCATCGATTATTTATTGAGTTTGTTATCGACTATATATCTATGTTTTTAACGATTTTGTTGTCGATATTTTTAACAATATTTTTATCGATTTTCTAAGCAAGTTTTGTTATCGATTTTGTTATAGATTACTTATTGATTTTGTTATCGATATTTTTACCGATGTTATTATCGATTTACTAATCGACTTTGCTACCAATATTATTATCGATTTTGCTATCGAAATTTTGATCGAATTTGTCATCGATTTTGTTATCGGTATTTTTAACGGCTTTGTTATCGACATTTTGTTGGATGTTTCTATCAATTTTGTTATCGCAGAGTATAAAGATAAAATTGAAGATAAAGGAACACAGAATAACATAAATGTAGTTAGAAGGAACAGGGGTAGAGGCAGGCATCTAGACAAAAAAAACAAAAAAAAGGACAGAAAATATAACATTCAGAAAAAGCAGATGTATGAATGTATATTGGTTATGAGGAAAAATAGATATATAACGTAAGTTTCACTTCTCCAGTGAGGCCTAGGCGCACTTACTTTTTTTCATATAAATTCATGGAAAACTTTGAGTGCTTTGAGCGACCTCTGAATAGTTTCTGACTTCGGAAAAGGGGTATATTTTTTCGGTGTGGAACAATCACAGCGGTGAGAGCGTTCGGACTTCGCTTTTTCACATGCATTTTTGGACCACCGTAATATTTATATACATACACGTATGTATGTATACTAAGTAAGAGCATTGTTGTATAGGAAGTACTAGTTGCCCATCTAAGCATATTATTTTTCTATTCTATTACATGCAAATTACCTGCACTGTTGATGATAGACGTTGTTGCGGTTGTTGCTCCACATATTGTTGCTGTCGGTATTGGCGTTGACGTCGCTGCAGCTGCTGGTGGTGGTGGTGATGTTGAAGATGCTGCTGCTGCTGCTGCTGATCGGCGCCTTCGTTGTGTGTTACTTGTGCAGCGGTTGTTGTTGTTGTTGTTGTTGTTGGAAATTCTTTGGCACAATCTCTTGCGGTTACAATTAAATTATATGAACTTTTCGTTTCTCGATCAAGTTCACGGCGTGTACGTATCGTACCGTTGGCAGCAATTTCAAAGTCGTTATTATCATCGCCCGACGTAATCGCATACTCGATGCGCCCGTTATCGCCTTGATGGAAAACAAAACAAGAAGAGCATGGAAATATAAAAAAATAAGCAAAAATTGTTTAGCAAAAATTCAAAAAAAAAAAAAATAAATAATCTTGCAAAAAATGCGCTGAAGCATTCATAGAAAGCGCTTTAAAAAAAAAAAGACAAAAGAAAGTAATGCAGCAGTAGCAACAGAGCAACTCGTGTGTCGATGTCGATGTTTCGTTTGGTAATCGATAGCTGCTTGCGGCCTGCTGCACATAGCTGCTTGCGGCTAGTTAGCTGTCTACTTAGTTCGTCAGTAGCGTTAAGTGCTTGCTGTCGCTTTGTTAGCAGCTCGAAAGGCGTTGCTGTATTATTTTATCGTTGTTGTTTTGGTTGTTGCTGCTCCTTGTTCCCTGTTGTTGTTGTTGTTGTGCTCCTATATTATTATAAATTATTTGCTATTGCAACCACCATCAAACTTTCTTCTAAGTCTTCATTCCTACTACTACTACTACTTGATTTTCCCTATAATTTCAAATTCCAATAGCGCAGCTGCCACCGCTGCCAAATTGCAACAAAACAGCCGAGCAGCCAGCCACAAAACTTTTGTGGCATTTTTGAATTTTCACTTAAAACAACTCATATTTTGCTATAGCAGAGCTACCAACTACTCGCTACGCTCCTCCCTATCAGCATGCCTTCTTCTGAAAGCGCGCAAAATCAGTGGAAAAATTGAATTCTGCGGTAAAATGCAGCAGCAGATAATTTGGTGAAAATTATGACGCCTTTTTAAATTGAAGTTAACTTTGCTGTTGTGTGTTTGCCAATGTATGATATGCATATATCCACCCGCATGCCTGCTTAGAGGCTCAGCGCTTCTCAGCTAACTGTTTGCTGTTTGGCTGCGTTCGTTCGTTGGCCTCTCGCCATTTTCTCGCCTAACTTGTAATCATAACTGTGCCGCGCTGACTTACTGCCACCTTTTTTATTGCCCCCCTTTCATGGTCGATTGCTTTTGTGTTACATCCATTGACGTTTGAATTTTGTATGGAAAAACTGCTGGCACCCACTCAAAAGCGCTCGCGCTCGAACCGCTACTTTCTTAGACACACTTTCAACACAACATCAGGCATCAAAAATCATGGCATTGCCAGCCTCCAATTGCCTGGTAACTTTATCATATCAACTCATCCTATAATGAATGCTGTTGCTGCTGCTGACAGTTGCTTTCATACACTCTCAGCTTTTGTGAATAGCACGAGCGCGTTGTTGTTGTTGTTTTTGGGTTTGCTAGAATTCTCATTGTCTGCGATTTCTTTTTTGATTATGATAAATTACTATTTAAAGAGCGCGAAATCTATTTACCATTTGGCACTTTAAAGTGGATTTGCTTGGCAGCCAGCAAAGATCGAAGGCTTAAATTAACACTTTAGCGCCTTTATCGTATTGAAGCGAGTTTGGTAACTGAAAGCCATTCCACTTATGCTATCTGACATGGTGAAGTACCCGGGCTTGGCGCTCGACAGTAAGCTAACCTGGAAGCCAGAAGATGGTTTGTTGCCTTCTTCTAATCGTCAACAGTTTTATTGTCTGGTACTTTCTTTTGTAGGAAGGCCTAGATAGGGCCGACAGAGTTAAGTTTTAACAGAGCGTGCCAATAACTGCCCAAATTGGAAGCAGAGGCGCCCCTTCGAACTACACCTATGCACTAAGTGAAATGCTAAACGTTGTGTCCATCGATATAGTGCCTAGAGATTACGAGACGTCGGCTATATATTTATGAGTTGATCCCGATCTTTAAGCACCTTTTCGCAGCGTAAGAAGCTGGATCCGGAAGAAGGCCAGAGGCTAAATGTACAACATATTTGAAAGCTATTTAAGGCTAACCGATGTTCCAACATCTTGGAACAAGCTGAGGCTTTAAAAAATGTCTCTAAGCAAGCCATCTTAGATGATAGGTTCAAGTCATAATTTCGAACTGGATAAGCAGTATGTTGAGCTGCAGTAGTCTTGCGGCGCAATGGGGTTGGCATGAGACCACCAAACTAATTATCTTAGGTACACAGCAAGGGGCGTATTATCACCACTACTATGGTCGCTAGTGATCAACAGGATACTAAAGAAAATGGAAAGTGGCCTGCCAAATTTACTGCATATATGCAGATGATATTTATTTTATAGCAAGCGGAAAGTATCTGTCTTATACTCAGATTATGAGCCAAGCATTACGCGAGACAAATGTTTGGCCAACTGAAGCGGGAGCTTAGCATCAACACAGTAAAGACAGATCTGGTATTTTTCACCAGGAAATACAAGATTCCAAACTGGTCTAACTTTAAGCTTGATGGGGAAAAGCTCCAGCGAACGCAACACACCAAATAACTTGGAATAATACTCGAAAGCAAGCTGTCGTGGCACCTCATCCTTGAGGATCTGCACGGCGATAGTCAGGCGATACTGTTCCATGTGGTGTTGGTTCGGTGGATGACAACGGAGAAAAAAACTTACTTCCCTCTAGACTGTAATTGCGGAGCCGTGGGTTGTAGATTGTGGGCGAAGACCCACTTCGGCTGAATGTTCGCCAATGGCCAGATGTCCCGCTGTCGTGGCCATATATTCCTCGCAGTTTTGCAGGTTTGAAGGCTTTTTCAAGAGGATAGTTCTCCGAGCGGAAAGTTTACTGTACCTGCTTCGTATTCATCAAGAGTTGCTTCGGCCTTAGCCAACTCATCAGCCCTCTCAGTTCCATGTAAGTCCGCGAACCCGGCCGTGAGAGATGCCTATTGACTTGACCGTCGAGCTAAATGCGCATTTGCCATGTGTGACCATTTTAGACTTTATTTCCGGTGAGGCCAGAAATGCCGCTTCGCTATCAGCCAAAACGTAAGCTTCTCTTTTCTCTCTAATACCTTTCAGACCCTCTCAATACCCAGCACTTTCAATTGGAAGTTGCTAGCAGAATTTGGACCCATCAGTTATAGATTTCAGTGGACTTCTCCTCGACTCGAAGTTGTAGGCCAATATTTACTCTAATTTTCTCAAATAAATATAATATTCTGCTTTTTCCAACTTTTTCGGTATATTTATTATTGGATTAATCGAAAGAGCAAATATTCCCATTCGTTAGTTAAGGAAAACGATTTCGTTCATGAAGATGCCTCGGCTGGCATTGCAGAAGCGCATCCTGTTAACCCAGTTTTCCAAGACCTCGGTGGCGGTTTCTGCCTCTATCTCACGAAACGCTTGCTCGATATTCGCCTTAAGTACCGAGAATCGTTAACAGATTGTACGCATAACATCGGTACTTCACGACACAGCACAGAAAAAAGTCTAACATTGAGAAGTGATAGCGAAGCGGAAGGTCGTGTGCCTTAAATTCCTGAGTAAATTGGGACTTGTAAGCGAACAATGCGAGATCTTTGTGAAAAAAACGGCCACAAGGACCACCCTTTATAAGAGTCTTTTGCGAGTATTATTACAAAGAAATTTAAACCACATCTATACATACATACATATTTCTAAGGCAATTGTCCCAGTGAATTTCGCCAGAACTATTATGTTGCGGTATTCTACTTATTTATGTACATTAGCGTGGTCCAAAAATGTATGTGGAAAAAGTAATGTCGGCATTTGTATGCTCTCGCCACCTTGTATCTTAAAAAATGGTCCATTAAACAAATGAGTATTGTTATTGGAAGTCTCCTGCAGAGAACCAGAGTTTTCCGATCGAAAAATATTTATTTTCAAGAATTCTATACCATTTCCTCGCACAGATGTTTTATCCCATATAAAAATACATGGCAAACTTTGTGCGTCCCCTAAAAATTTTTTTATTTCAAAATAAAAAGTGGGGCATATTTTTTCGATATAGAACAATCGTAGGGATGAGCGCATAAAAATTCCGACTTTACCTTTTTTTGGACCACCCTAATGTAAATGCCTGCAAGTTGTGAAAATTACTCAAAAACTCATTTGCAATAGCATAGCTCAAGCTAATCTACTTTCTGTATGCGGTTTTCGTACACACCTTAAAAAAAAAAACCTTTATTCTACAAACTCAAACTAGTCTGCCTTTTTTCTGCACCTTTCTCGCCCTTCCTGCCCCGCCAAACTAACTATTAGGGTTCTAATCCTGCTGCCACCATCAACATTTTTAGCTTAATTTAGCACAGTGAATTAAAAAAAAAAAAGTAGTAAATAAGTAGTGAAAAGCAGCAATAAAAAAAGATAATAAACGAATAAATGGCGCGACGACTCATCAACCAAAGGTAGACAAAACGCCACAAATGCGCGCAAACAGAAGCTGAAGCTGAAGCTGTGTGGAAAGGTGTCAGTCATAAATCGTGAGATGCTCATTTTTCCGCATACCTTTTGTTATTGTTGTGTTTGTGGCTCCCTTATATGTATGTATGTGTTTTTTGCTTGACAAACTCGCAGACACAGTAGTACTCAACGTACTATGCCAGTTAAGAGATATTATGATTATTATTTTATTTTTAGCGTAAAAATAGGCACACGAAACATTTGAAACACTACCGCTGCCGTTTAGTGGGTCAATAGGTGAAGAACGTTTCAAATGCGCCAACAAATCGTAAACTTAGTTTTCGTGTGTGGAAAGTGTGGCATGGTTTAGTGCATTTTCGGAGGCAAAGCTACTTAGGCGATTGAAGCCGGTGAAGCGAGAGAAATCAAGTCAAAGTTTTGTATACAGATTTTTGTAAGCGAATTTCGCGAATATATAGATATATTTTTTATTCTAATAAATGTTATAATTAACTATATGTATCATTGCTTCTGCGGTTCTTAAGTATATAAACCATCTAAGCAGGTATCGTTTGACTGTGTGCAACGCTTCCAATTTTCTTTAAAAGCACTTTCTATACATTCAAAATCGTTGTTTCACTTCTTACCTGAGTCGATGTCGGTTGCTGTGACCGTTACAATCGGTGTACCAATCGATACGTTCTCGTATATCTCATTCGAATAACTCATCGGATCGAATATGGGTGCATTATCATTTAAATCCAATACATTGCAGTAAACCGTTAATGTGGTGGAGAGACTGGGTTGGCCATTATCCTGCGCTTGCACCACAAGTATGTAATGTTGTACCTGTTTGAAGAGAATAATTGGAAGTACTTAGTATTTATTTATTTTTTTTTAACAAATTTCATGCAAAATGTGACAAATATAAATTTGGTGACTGCTAAATTTTTTCCGATTTCTAAAGAAAAACCCAATTTAAATATAATTTCCTAAGGCGTTTTTGTCTTGAGTAAATATTTTATTGAATACTAGTTCTCATGGCTGAGGTACGCGGGCACCACCAGCAGCAGTGCTCACTTAAATAATAATCGATTACAATTTGAACAAATTGATAAACGCTTGCAAAAGATTATAAATATTTAAATATTAAGTAATATTTTGGACATTTATTTTGAGCATCGTTAAGGACAATTGGTTTTCCGCAAGTACTGCATGCTTTCCTAGTTTTGCGCCTAAGATCTCCTTCATTCCTGCACACGTAGCTGGACCCCTTTTTTACTGCGCGTCCTAAAGATTATGTTGCGTCTAAATTTAGTGTCTGAGAAGGTAAATCCGAGGAATGTAATTATCAATCAAACAAGCTTCGTCTGCTCTCTCGTTGCCTTCTATGTTCCTATGACTGAGACGCCGAGCATAGCTCTATCTTGCATTCTTTGACTTGCTTAGATTTGGTTTCAGTTGATAATATATAATAACCCCTCTTTCTTTCCTCGTAGCACTATTGTTTAGTATAATACAGGCTTCACAAGTGCCCAGAACTTCTGCATGAAATATGCCAGCCGATTAGGGCCCGAATGACACCAATCTCCTCGGAATATGCCCCTGTCACTACACCGCAATCCATCTTTGACTCGTCAGTGTAGATACAGATAGCTTCCATATCGGCAACTTGGCCCCTTCTAAATTCCCTTCTGGATGGAAACCGCAAATGTACATTCAAGCCAAAAGCGAAGCCATGCTTAAGATTGAGCTATGCCCGAAGATACTCGATCTCCACAGCCCAGACTCTCTGCTGAGTACATCGCGGTTTCCTGTAGGTATATATTTATGTGTGGGAATCATATTGCGGACTACATTCAGTGCTTATGAAGCGGGGGATTACACTGCGGCAGTTATAATTTGGTAAAAGCGTCATCCGGATAAAAGGCACTGGTTTCTCTTTCAAACCGGAGTGTGAGAGCAATCGCCTATTTCTGGAAACATCGAATTCAGTACTCGAGAAAGCGGTCGGTGCTCGCGCCGATTGGATTCTTTTCCACACACATCTCTCTTAGTGGTGAATAGTTGAGTTGCAGTATCTTCAATAGAGTCCCAGTAGGCATATTTATGGACGGGTCGAAGATTTCGGGAACTTTCCGTTAATTTCAAGTTGAAGTTTCGGAATTTCTGCATCCTATTTCTAATACAAAGGATACGGTCGACGGACAATGTACTTTGTAGTGTAGAATCAGTTCTTCTTTATCTTCTTGCAAAGTCCTTCTACCGCCCACTCTTTAGCTTTAGCTCTTTTTAGAAGCTTTAGGGTTGGATATCAGTTGTCTGCGGAGATTTATTTTGAGATGTATTTCTTAAAAACTGCATGAATATTATTTGCTATGCCAGGAAAATGTCTGATACATGATAACCCATGAACAATTTAAGAAATTTCTTATGAAATTCCTCGGGGCGCAAATATTATTCAGTTAAAACTGCGATAAGCTATTTAATCTTTTGATTGCTTTAGAACGCTTATAGACCTAAATGCGATGCACGCGAAAGAAAAATTTTGCTTAAGCTTTCAAAGAACAACATGCGAGCGTTTCTTCATTTGATTGCGTAACATTTGTGCCAAAAAAAATTGCATTTCCTTTAAATTTTTTGTTTACACGGCAACAATTGCAAAAGCTTTTAAAACAAAACTTTCCTTCTGATCATTTCAGGAAACTTATTAACGCAACATCACTCACCTCTTCATAATCCAAACGTGCTGTCAGAGTGAAAACGCCCGTTTGCGGATTCAAACTGAATACATCATTGGCCCAATCCGAAATGACGGTGTACGAAACGAGCGCATTATCGCCCAAATCCGGATCGGTGGCGGCAATAATACCAACTTGATAGCCACGTGGGGCGTTTTCGGGTATGTCAAAGGAGTAAACGGGTTCATCGAAAATCGGTGGATTGTCATTGGTGTCGGTGACCTGCGAAAAAAGTTGGAAATGAGATGAATGTGTGAAAAAATTAATGAGTTTTGTATGAGATTGAATTTAGAATGCATACGTTTATATGTATGTATATTCATTAATACGAGTATAAAAAAGTGACATAAATATTTTAATTTTGCAGCTCATATTAGTGAATAGAGTTGCCAATTAAATTTGAAATTAATTACTTAATAATATAGTAAATGGTTTTGGTGCGATGGACGAAATTTAAAATGTCGAACCTAAAACATCGGAAAAAACAATATAAACAAATAAAAAATATTTAGAACACCAAGAATGTCGAGAAAAAATGTACAAAATAAATATTTATTAATTAAATTAAATTAACCACCTTAGCTTATGACATAAATATGTCAACGGTACTTTGGCAAAACGTCGTATTTCAAAATATTCTCTAACAAAAAAGTCTATAAATAACCAAAGTACCGTCAATATGTGTGTATATGTATATAAAAGAGAAGCTTGTTGCAAGCATTTATGCAATCGATAGGCTCTACTTGTGGTCCGACTACAGAAGAGGTTTGAAGTGAGTTGCCACCTGTTTAAAAAGTAAAATAAAATTAAATTCAACAGATTGATCAAACATCGGAATACGGATGTCAAATTCTAAAGTGTTTAAGAGAGCTCATTGAAAAAAAAGTTTTGCAGACGGTTGCCACCTGTTTGAAAAATTAAATTCCTTTTATTTGGTTAGACAAATGTAAAGAAATATAAAAATATGGTTATCAAACCAAAGAGATTTTAGAAAGCTCACCTTCTAAAATATTTTCAAGAAGGTTGCCAGTCGTTGGATTAACTCATATATTAGATATAAGAAAGTCTAGGTTTGAATATGATAAGAATTTCCGCTTGTTAAAAAATTGTATTCAATTAAGTTTAATGACTTACTATAACAAGAGTATCAATTCAAATGGTTTTGAAAAGGCTTCGTTTCTGAACTACATGAATGAGCGTTGCCACCTGTTTAAAGAGTCAAATTCAACTTGAACTAAGAGAAATAGGTTGTTCAAATATGAACCCAATGGATATCAGAATAAAGATCTTTTAGAAGGCTTTAGTTTGAAAATATTTTTTAGGGGGTTGCCACCTGTTTGAAAAGTTAAGTTTAATTAAATTACACACAAGTTATGTACAATTTTAAAACATGGATGTCAAATCTTTAGCTGAACATTAGAATATTTTTGAGGCGTTCGAAGAGGGTTGCCTACTGTCTATAACTATATTAAATTGAAATTATTTAAAATGTTAAATAAATCATTACAATATGGTAATCAATCGAAATGGTTTTGAAAAAGCTTCATTTCTAACTTACATTTAGGAGCGTTGCCACCTAGCGAAAAAGTCAGATTCAACCTGAATTAGATAACTGAAATGGTTGCTAGACGAAACAAGTTTAAGTAGGTTGCGGTTTGAAAATATCTTGAAGAGGGCTGCCATCTATTTTAAAACCCAAATCTAAATAATTTTTATATAAAATATTTTTGTTATAAAAAATATTAAAATATGGGTAACCGAAAAAATTTAGAAAAAATCATCTTTTTAGGTGCATGTTGGCAACCCTAACTCTTTAAAAAGTTATATTTAAATTGTTTAATAAGATAAATGGATTATGAATTATCATTAGAAGAATTTTTGAAAATTATATGTGGGAGGGTTGCCACCTATTTAGAATGCAATTTGAATTACGGGATTTAATTGATTGAAATATGTATCACAAAATATGGACGCTTGATGAAAGAGGCTTAAGAAGGGTTTAGTGTGACAATATTTCGGAGAGGGTTAGAAAAAAATAAAAATGTGAAAATCTCTGTTTAACTATTGGGTTTTATTGAATTAAATTGCACATAATTTAACACGTAAATACTTCATATGTACACTTAACCAGACGGGTGAGGGTAACCTAGTATATTTAAAAATATTGATAAGAAAAAAAAATAAAAATTTCTTGAAGAAAATACAGTTTACTGTTACAGAACGAAAAGTATATCGTTAAAATTTACCCAAGGATTTGAGTTTACGTACCAATAACCGCCTAAGTCGACTTAAGAGAGAGAGAGAAAAGAAAGGTAAACATTACAATCCAAATGTTTAAAACGTTTTTTCTCGAATTTAGGCTTTTCGACTTAAGCGGTTATTGCTGATGACCACAGATGTACGTACATACATACATATAAATACTTTTTTTTTTTGGCATTCGATTTATTTAATTTTTCGTACACACTTGCTTCCACTTCGGTTTGCATTTATTCTACAATAAAATGCATTCACAACAAACCACATTTTAATTTTGTTCTTTGTTGTTGTTTTTTTTTTATTGTAGTTGTTGTTGTTGTTGTTGTCTTATGGTTAAATAATTTTTTTGCGATGCATTTAAATGCGTTTAAAAGGTGGAAACAGCTGTCAGTTCTTATTCATATCACGAATGCGCTGGAGACAGCCCGGCAGGAGGCAAACAGGCAGCAGACGACGAGTGGACACAAATAATCAGGTAAGTAAGCAGACAAGGTAGACAGACATTGGAGGGAAGATGCGCAGCAAAAGCTACAAACTGCATATACATACATACATATATACATATGAATATGGATGCACGTACAACTTATTTAAATACATACGCTGGTAAGTACCGAAGTACATACATATGTATGTATGTAAGAATGTATGCATGTGCATGTTTTGGCATGCGAAGGATAGAACTGCTGTTTATGCCTTTGTTGAGAGGCGTCTGACATGTATGACGCTTTATTAAAATATACCACGTAAACACATTTAAATATGGATATAATAAGACGAAATTGCAGTAAAGTAAAGTAAAGCAAAATAAAAAATAAAAGCAAAAATTTTTCAGTGCAGTCTTTTGCGAAAAATCACGTACCAACAACTAAAACCAAAAATGCAAAAACAAAAAAAAAAAATGCAAAGTACGGCGCAAAATATGACAGTTTCCTCTGTTTTTCTCACCGTGTAAATTCACTAAATGGCCTGTAAAGTGTGAACAAAGCGACCTTAATAAGTTTTTTATGACTGCAAATGAGCAGCGGCGGCGGCGGCAGCACTGACGTGGAGCTAACAATGAAAGCAAAAAAAAAATAAACGAAATTAAAATCTTCTGCTTGCAACAATGAGCAGAGCGGCAGCAGCCGAGGCAACAGCCGACTCAATGGCGGTCAATAAATTTTAAATTTTACTTTTGTCCATGCAACTGCATTTCATTTATTTCCACTTACATTTCTATATGCTTATATATGTATGTATATATTTTTGTGATTATTTCTGCATACGTCTGCATGCTTTTGCAAATATTTTCATGCACCCAGGCACAGTGTTACAAAAAGCACGCGTTTTTGAAAATAACTGCCCATCATGCAAGGACTTCGCGTTGAATATAAAACATTTTCACACTTAAGAAATTTGATAACCCCATTTTCCAACAAAAATACAATGAGTAACTAAAAAAAAATTATTATTTTAATGATCACTTTTAACAAGCTTTTATTAGGTTTGGAATTTTTAAAATTGCGAAATGAATTAATTCTCAGAATTTTGCTGCGGTGTTGTAAAGTAGTGATCTAATTTTGTATAAAAATATGCTATAAGGGGGTTTTTTGGCGTGAGGAGTTCATTTCCGCACTTATCTTTTTCTGAAAACTTCAACCAGAGAGCCCACAGTGCATACTTTCACATTTTTTTTCGAAACCTATTTTCGCAATTTGTCAAACGCTTAGTCAAAAGGAATTGATCCGCCCTAATATATGTATGTACATATACATGAAATAATAGTGCGATGGGGTTAAAGTATTCTAACCACTAATAAAAGCTTGTCTTAAAAACTTTTTTTTTTTTATATTAGTTCTTTAAATTTGAACTTCAAAAAATCATACTGAAAGAGAAAAGCTGCGTTCATAAAGAGTAAATCCTGAACCTTGTACTTTTTCGCTCGCGGACCTCAATTATCAAAACACGTTTTTTTTATTCAAAGTTCAGAAAAGGGTAACTGTTGCATCAATAAATTAATTTTGATAGGCAAAATTTCGTTCAAAAACTTTTTTCTAATATAAGTAGTAAAATTAGTCACAGAAAAACTACGTTAAAAAAATAAGGTTTCATCCGCATTTGCAACACTGTGCGCCGTGTAAGGTGTTCGAATATATTGACATTTTTTATGGTTTTATAAGTAAAAAATTCCTCTCGCGCTTGACACTGACGCAAGGCTTTCCGGTCGATGAGCTGCTATCCCATTACAGGCAGACATAGCAAATTATTAACAAACATACATGTATAATAAATACTTGAATATAAGCACATACTCACATACACTTACATATGTACATATGTAATTAATATATGTGTATATGGGTAATTCCGTGTCAAATCGACCTGTGGTTGGAATCCATCCCTTACGATTTGGATAGAATTTGGTCAGAAGTTTTCTTTCAACTTATAATGAAGTGCTCCGAAACAAAGAAATTTAAAAAAAAAAATTGTTTGCAAAAGTTACGCGAAATTGAAGATTTCACAATTTTTCCAGTTTTTCAAGTTTATTTTATTAACATCTTCAAAACTGATATAGCTACAAAAACATCTTGGACTCTTTTAAAGGAAGATACTTGGGGCCACAAAAATATGTGTTAAAAAAATAAATTAAAAAATCGAAAAAAGGAAAAATTCAAAAAAATTTTCAAAATTGGATAAAACAAAAACTAGTATCTTTTTGGGATAAATTTTTTTTAATGATATATCTGCATGTTTTTAAAAGATTCTAAAATTTTCTCGCAGGTGTTTTTTGATTTTTTTGTCAGATATGAATTTTTGAGTTTTGGTAAAAATATTTTTTTTTTCGCCCGCAATATATTAATAAAATATTATCACATGAATTCTCAATTTTTGTATTTAGGGTAAGGCGATTACAGGACAAATGAATCTATATGAATTAACTAAGGAGAGGATTTTCAAATAAAACATATTAACTTGAACGA